TCTCTGTCTCCCTATATATGGGCGATGGAACGGGTGTCCTTTTTGATCGTTTTCTGCATCTTCAAGGGAGAAAAAAGGACCCCCCAAGAAGGAAAAGTAACATAAGAAAAAGGGAGGGACATTGAAGAGATCCTCTCTTTACTTAGTCATTCCCTGTCATCTCTTCTTATCTGTTGTTTTTCTTAGTCGCTTCAAAACGCAAAATAAGGGAAAGGCGATTTCCTGAAGAGGAGGAAGGGTACTGTACCTATCTGTGAATAGCAAGATTGGCTTTTTCGAATTAGGGAGAGACAAGGGAGATATATAAAGCTTTGCGACAAGTTCTGTCACTCCGTCTCCTTGCTTCCCGTCTGTTCTATTCCTTGCAGAGATCAGGGAGAGAGGATAGATAAAGAAGAGTGCCATCTTCTTTGCGCCTTGTTTTGTCTCTCCCTCTCCTTTATTCATCTCTCTTCTATTCTTTTCTTGGCTCTTCCCATTAAAATTGTGTTCCTTTCATCGCTCCTCTCTCCTTCTCTTTCCCTTCTCTTCTGCTGTTCCCCTTTATATGACAAAAAACACAAGAAAGGAAGAACAAGAGGGGAATGGAGGCCCTTTTCCTGTCTTCTCCTGTTGCAATGAATAAGGAAAAGAGCATAGGAGATAAGGAAGGGAATTGAAGAGTAAATGGGCGATGGAACTGGAACGGGTGTTCCTTTTGAGAGTTTTCTGCATCTTCAAGGGAGAAAAAAGACATCCCCCAAGAAGGAAAAGTAACATAAGAGATAGGGAGGAAAATTGAAGAGCTCCTCTCTTTACCTAGTCATTCCCTGTCCTCTCTTCTTATCTGTTGTTTTTCTTAGTCGCTTCAAAAAGCAAAATAAGGGAAAGGCGATTTCCTGAAGAGGAAGAAGGGCACCTATCTATCTGTGAATAGCAAGATTGGTTTTTTCTAATTAGGGAGAGACAAGGGAGATATATAAAGCTTTGCGACAAGTTTTGTCACTCCGTCTCCTTGCTTCCTGTCTGTTCTATTCCTTGCAGAGATAAGGGAGAGAGGATAGATAAAGAAGAGTGCCATCTTCTTTGCGCCTTGTTTTGTCTCTCCCTCTCCTTTATTCATCTCTCTTCTATTCTTTTCTTGGCTCTTCCCATTAAAATGGTGTTATTGTTATCTCTCCTCGCTCCTTCTCTTTCCCTTCTCTTCTGCTGTTCCCCCTTAAATGACAAAAACGCACCCTGTTCTTTTCACAATGGATGGGGCAAGTGAGCGGGGTTGGCTCCTTGCCCGTAGACCCTCCCCATGCTTCAGCAAATTCTTCCTCTCGCCCTATCGCCTCTGTTCTTTTCCTTGTTCCCAAACGGAAAAAGTGAACGGGTTCCTGAAGACGAGAGAGGGCGCCTGTTTTTCTAATTATAGAGGGAAAAGGGAAAGACAAGGATGATAGATAAAGAAGAGTGCGATCCGTCTCCTTTGTTTCTTGTCTTTTCTCTTCTTTTCAATACCCTTCCAGAAAATTAAAATGGCATCCTTGTTGTCTCTCCTCTCTCACTTCTCTTTCCCTTCTCTCCTTCTGTTTCCGTTTAGCTGTTAAACCACAATAAAGGAACTTGTATGATAAAGGCAGTGGGAGGGTAAGCAGAGGGTGACTCCTTGAGTGTGGACCTTGCCATACTTCATCATATCACTCTTTTCGGCCTATCTCTTCTGCTCTTTTCCTTACCCTTCTCCTTTTCATAATTCTTCCTGCTTAGTTTTTCTTATTTCGAAAAAAAAAGGGAAGGGAGAGATAAGGGAGAGGGGATGGATTAAGAAGAGCGCCATCTTCTTTGCAACTTGTTTTGTCTCTCCTTCTCCTTTATTCATCTCTCTTCCATTCTTTTCTTGGCTCTTCCCATTAAAATTGTGTTCCTTTCATCGCTCCTCTCCCCTTCTCTTTCCCTTCTCTTCTCCTGTTCCCCTTTATATGACAAACACACAAGAAAGGAAGAACAAGAGGGGAATGGAGGCCCTTTTCCTGTCTTCTCCTGTTTCAATGAATAAGGAAAAGAGCATAGGAGATAAGGAAGGGAATTGAAGAGTAAATGGGCGATGGAACGGGCGTTTCTTTTGAGAGTTTTCTGCATCTTCAAGGGAGAAAAAAGGACATCCCCCAAGGAGGAAAAGTAACATAAGAGATAGGGAGGAAAATTGAAGAGCTCCTCTCTTTACCTAGTCATTCCCTGTCCTCTCTTCTTATCTGTTGTTCTTCTTAGTCGCTTCAACAAGCAAAATAAGGGAAAGGCGATTTCCTGAAGAGGAAGAAGGGCACCTATCTATCTGTGAATAGCAAGATTGGTTTTTTCTAATTAGGGAGAGACAAGGGAGATATATAAAGCTTTGCGACAAGTTTTGTCACTCCGTCTCCTTGCTTCCTGTCTGTTCTATTCCTTGCAGAGATCAGGGAGAGAGGATAGATAAAGAAGATTGCCATCTTCTTTGCGCCTTTTTTTGTCTCTCCCTCTCCTTTATTCATCTCTCTTCTATTCTTTTCTTGGCTCTTCCCATTAAAATTGTGTTCCTTTCATCGCTCCTCTCTCCTTCTCTTTCCCTTCTCTTCTGCTGTTCCCCCTTAAATGACAAAAACGCAAGAAAGGAAGAACAAGAGGGGAATGGAGGCCCTGTTCTTTTCACAATGGATGGGGCAAGTGAGCGGGGTTGGCTACTTGCCCGTAGACCCTCCCCATGCTTCAGCAAATTCTTCCTCTCGCCCTATCGCCTCTGTTCTTTTCCTTGTTCCCAAACGGAAAAAGTGAACGGGTTCATGAAGACGAGAGAGGGCGCCTGTTTTTCTAATTATAGAGGGAAAAGGGAAAGACAAGGATGATAGATACAGAAGAGTGCCATCCGTCCCCTTGTTTCTTGTCTTTTCTCTTCTTTTCAATACCCTTCCAGAAAATTAACATGGCATCCTTGTTGTCTCTCCTCTCTCACTTCTCTTTCCCTTCTCTCCTTCTGTTTCCGTTTAGCTGATAAACCACAAGAAGGGAACTTGTATGATAAGGGCAGTGGGAGGGTAAGCAGAGGGTGACTCCTTGCGTGTGGACCTTGCCATACTTCATCATATCACTCTTTTCGGCCTATCTCTTCTGCTCTTTTCCTTACCCTTCTCCTTTTCATAGTTCTTCCTGCTTAGTTTTTCTTATTTCGAAAAGAAAAAGGGAAGGGAGAGAAAAGGGAGAGGGGATGGATTAAGAAGAGCGCCATCTTCTTTGCAACTTGTTTTGTCTCTCCTTCTCCTTTATTCATCTCTCTTCCATTCTTTTCTTGGCTCTTCCCATTAAAATTGTGTTCCTTTCATCGCTCCTCTCTCCTTCTCTTTCCCTTCTCTTCTCCTGTTCCCCTTTATATGACAAAAACACAAGAAAGGAAGAACAAGAGGGGAATGGAGGCCCTTTTCCTGTCTTTTCCTGTTGCAATGACTAAGGAAAAGAGCATAGGAGATAAGGAAGGGAAGAGTAAATGGGCGATGGAACGGGTGTTCCTTTTGAGAGTTTTCTGCATCTTCAAGGGAGAAAAAAGGACCCCCCAAGAAGGAGAAGTAATGCAAAATTGAAGAGCTCCTCTCTTTACCTAGTCATTCCCTGTCCTTTCTTCTTATCTGTTCTTTTTCTTATTCGCTTCAGAAAGCAAAATAAGGGAAAGGCGATTTCCTGAAGAGGAAGAAGGGCACTTATCTATTTGCGAAGAGCAAGATTGGTTTTTTTCTAATTAGGGAGAGACTTGCCCCGCCTGAGCCTCCCTGGCCTGCTTGTTGTGGCCACATTCCGCTACAGTTGCCCCGCCTGAGTCTCCCTGGCCTGCTTATTGTGGCCACATTCCGGTACAGTTGCGCTTCCAGAAAAATGCCATCCTTGTCATCTCTCCTCTCTCACTTCCCTTTCCCTTCTCTCCTTCTGTTTCCTTTCAACTGATACAGCGCAAGAAAGGAACTTGTATGATAAGGCAGTGGAAGGGTAAGCAGAGGGTGACTCCTTGCGCGTGGACCTTGCCATACCCCCTCCTATCGGCCTATCCCTTCTATTCCTTTCCGTCCCCTTCTCCTTCTCATAGTTCTTCCTTTTTGTTTTCTTATTTCGAAAAGAAAGAGGGCAGGGAGAGATAAGGGGGAGAGGATAGATAAAGAAGAGTGCCATCTTCTCTGCGCCTTATTTTGTCTCTCCCTCTCCTTTATTCATCTCTCTTCTATTCTTTTCTTTGCTCTTCCCAGTACGCAATCCTTTTTGTCTCTCCTCTCTCCTTCTCTCTCCCTTCTCTTCTCCTGTTCCCCTTGATGTGACAAAAACACAAGAAAGGAAGAACAAGAGGGGAATGGAGGCCCTGTTCCTTTCTTTTCCTGTTTCAATGGATGGGGAAAGTGAGCGGGGTTGGCTCCTTGTCCGTAGACCCTCCCCATGCTTCAGCAAATCCCTCCTCTCGCCTTATCGCCTCTGTTCTTTCCTTGTTCCCACATGGAAAAAGAAAACGGGTTCCTTTGCATGTTCATTGTTCTTCCTTTTGTTGTTTATTTGAAAAGGAAAAGAGCAAGAGAAGAAAGATGAAAACGAGCACCATCTTCTCTTAGCCTGATTTTACACCTCCCTCTCCTGTCTTCATTTCTCTTCCATTCTTTTCATTGCTCTTCCCATTAAAATTGCATTCCTTTTGATCTCTCCTCTGATCTGCGAAGAGCAAGAATGGTCTTGTCTTTTGAATTATAGAGGGAAACGGGAGAGGCAAGGAAGGGAGAGATGATAGATAAAGAAGAGTGCCATCCGTCTCCTTGTTTCTTGTCTCTTCTCTTCTTTTCAATCAATACCCTTCCAGAAAATTAAAATGGCCTCCTTGTTGTCTCTCCTCTCTCACTTCTCTTTCCCTTCTGCCGCAGCCAAACAGCGACTTTTTCACGCAGGCTGAAAAAAGAACACGCATACACAGATAGCAAAGAGAAACAAATGAAAATAAGAACAACCAGAAATTCGCAGTTTGTAATGGCGTGCGGCTAGGCCTAGAACCGCTGGGCATGAGATTTGCGTGCCATATGTAGGTGTAAATATGTATTTTTGTATTACGATATTTATATTCGCTCTTTTTAAGCAATAAGAAAAACCCAAAGCTAAATAGACCCTAAAGGCGGCGGGCTCATACATATATATATATATAGATATATCTATCCCTCTCTTTGTCTATCTATCTATCGATCGATCGTACGGCCCTTACAAGGACCCAAAATGGACCCTGATTTGAAGACCTTCCCATAGAAGGCCCAGAAAAGAGAAGAGTTTACGGATCGCACCTCTTCGCCCAGGCACAGCACTTTCTGTCCGCGCTTGTCCTGCAGGCGGGAAGGGGCGTCTGCAATCGCTGATTCTGTTGGGTGGAGGCGGGGGGCCTAGGGGTTGGGGATATCTGGGTAGTGTGTTAGGGCTTGGGGGTTTAATGGCTTCAGGGTTTTGGGGGCGGAGGACCCACCCCCGACATTGTTGCAACTGGACACAAAAAAGAGCGCCCCGCACCTTTCGGGAGCTGCCGTCTAGGGTTTAGGGTTGAGGGTCTAGGGTTTGGGGTTTAGAGTTTCGGGTTTAGGATGTATGGCTGGTTCAGGGCTGAGGAAAACTTTATGGCGAATCTGTCTCTCATCAAACAATACTCAATATAGAGAGAGTCGGCCGCTACCTGGACCTTGACTTGCAGTTCCTGGTTTCCGGGTTCTAGGTCTTTTTGGTAATTTCTATTGCACTTTCTGTTTACCAGAAATTGGCACACCCAAGAACTGGACCGTCAATGAAGGGTCCAGCGGCGGCCGGGGTTTGGGGTTGTTGTCGCCCTAGCAGCCTCACACCACACTGCCGGGCCGGAATGGGCTTGCTTGTTCTTTTCTAGCTCAGGGTTTAGGGTTAGGGTTTCGGGTTTCGGGTTTAGGGTTTAGGGTTTAGGGTTTAGGGTTTAGGGTTTAGGGCTTGGGATGCGCAACATGTCCTGCACAAAGTCGAGGCGCTCGATGACCCAGTGGAAGCCTGCTTCCCCCCCCGAAGGGTCCGCAGGAAACCCGTAAGGTTGAAGACCCTAAACCCTAAACCCTAAACCCTAAACCCTAAACCCTAAACCCTAAACCCTAGAAAGCTTAACAAACACTCCTGACAAACTCATGGAACTTCAGGTCCAAGGTCTATCACCCCCCTGCCCCCTCAAAATTTTAGATTCTGATCCAGCAGACGTGTAACCGTGTAAGTGGCATGTTTAGGGTTTAGGGTTTCGGGTTTAGGGTTTAGGGTTCAGGGTTTAGGGTTTAGGGTTTAGGGTTTAGGGATGCCCACCCCCAGCCATGCCGAAACCCCATCACAAAAATGTGCAGAGCTCAGGCACGCCCATCTTGGTTCGACGGGTTCATGAGCTCCGAGTCATACTGGAAGAGCGCATCAAACTGGCTGTAGGTGAGCGGATAGGTGTACGTGCAGTCGTTCTCCAGCTCGTAGGCAGAAAACCTGAACGAAACCCACTAAACCCTAAACCCTAAACCCTAAACCCTAAACCCTAAACCCTAAACTTCACACTCTCAAACTCAAAGGGGGGTAACAGGTGCAAGTGCCTCCGCTCCCTCAGTTGGTAGTCCAGGAACCATATTACTAATAAGGGCAACCACTGTTGGGTTGGTTACTTGAGAAGGGGACCCTAGACTACTAAGCTCAAACTCGAAGTCTCCCTATTTCAGCCCTCCCCACAGGGCAGGCAGAGCGCCAACCGCGATGGCTTATGCAGTGACCCCTCACATCCTGCTGCCCTGTTTTCAACGAGGACTCTCTCAAAGTCCTGCATCCTAAGCCCTCTCTCCTAAATCCTAAATCCTTTCAACAGCTTGTTCACCGGATGCGGCTTGAGGGTCTACAGCCCTCACCACCAAATCATGAACCCTACAAACCTTGCAAACCCCAAGCCTTGGCTGCACTTAGCAGGGTAGCTATAAATCTAATCTTTAGCTGCCTTATCAAGACACCCAATAAACCCAAAAAGGCCAAGGATCTAAGGATACAGTGTAACGCACCACAGAGCAGCCCCTAAGCCCTGGAGCCCACTGCAGTTGAGGGTTTCTGGCTCGCAGGGCTCAGGGGCGAGATCGTGCATGTGGCGGGGTCATCGTAGACAGCAACCTTTGTCAGATCTTGCCGGTTTAGGGTTTAGGGTTTAGGGTTTAGGGTTTAGGGTTTAGGGTTTAGGGCTTTGGGGGGCTTTTGGGGCTTTTGGGGCTTTTGGTGGGTTTAGGGTTGTGGGCTTCGGGGTCTTTGTGCCGCGGCTCGGCTTCGTGGCCTTCAGGTTTTGGGGTTTAGGGTTTAGGGTTTAGGGTTTAGGGTTTAGGGTTTGAAGGAACCGGTTTAAAGGGCTAAGGGCTTCAGCAGGTTCGGGGGCGTCAACGGGCTCAAAGATGTTCCAAGGGTTTAGGGTTTAGGGTTTAGGGTTTGGGGTTTAGGGTTTAGGGTTTAGGGCTGGCGGGCTCTGAAAGGCATGTGGCATGTGTTTGACAGGCCTTCGGTGGACCGACGCCGCCATCAATCGCACAAGCTTTCGAAGGGTACAACTGCGGCCACTTAACATTTAGGGTTTAGGGTTTAGGGTTTAGACAACAAAAACAACTGACAGATCTGGGCTTCCGGCAATGTAGTAATCTCCCTCGATGCATTTCCCCTCCTGGAAGATCAGCGATCCTCTGTCAGGAGCCGAGTTTTGGAAAGCCCTCCTCAACCCACAGCCCCAAGGCTCCTAAAGCCCTCAACCCTGTTGCAGCAGGTCTCGCCTGCCTAACCCCTAAGCCATATACCCCAGCTCTTTTAAAACCCTTACCCCAAGTACTGAAGATCCTCCCCGACACCCCCCCCCCTCCCGCACAACAAGGAATGAAAATAATCATGTAAGAAGAAAATTGCAACAATGACCAAGCAATAACAATATAACAACAACAATAACAATAACAATAGCAATAGCAATGGCAATGGCAATGGCAATGGTAATGTCAATGGCAATGGCAATGGCAATCACAATCACAATCACAATCACAATCACAATCACAATCACAATCACAATCACAATCACAACAATAATAAGCATAATCATCAGATGATCCGAATGATGCGAAGAATAATCATAACAGTAACAATGCAAGAATAAGAGCAACAAGAAGAAGAAGAATCAAAATGCAAATAGAAATAACGACGGCTAGAAAAAGCATAAGTTAAACCCTAAACCCTAAACCCTAAACCCCTAAACCCTAACCCCTAAACCCTAAAACGGTGCCTCGCGTGTCATCCGGTCGCCGGGCCATGGCTTCTTAGAGGGCAAGGTGGGGGGGGCCAAGACTTCCCGGGCCCTCTACCCTGCCTGCCTTGAGAGGCTTGCGAGCTCAGGGATGCTGGGGTTTGGGGTTTAGGGTTTGGGGTTTAGGGTCTAGGGTTTAGGGTTTAGGGTTTAGGGTTTAGGGTTTAGGGTTTAGGGTTTAGGGTTTAGGGTTTAGGGTTTAGGGTTTAGGGTTTAGGGTTTAGGGTTTAAGGATTCTGGGTTTGGGGTTTAGGGCTTATGGTTTTACGTAGGACTTGGGGAGGGATGAAAATTTCAAGGATTCCAAAGGGTTTACTGCTCGGAGCATATTTCCCGGCTTTGGGCGGACAAGGGGTTGAGGACCCACACTCAACCCCTCGACGTGAAGCTCAGAACACCGGCAGCCCTGTTCAAAGTACGCCCAGTGCTCTTCGACCCAACTCGGCAAAATCCTCCACATGTGCACCTCTTGCGTGAGGAAGCCCCGACGCAGCTTGCTACCAATCTGCCCAGGCCAGGTGAGAGGGGTCCAGGTGAGGATCCCAGGCTGGTGGGTCTCCGGGTTTAGGGTCTAGGGTTTAGGGTCTCCGGGCTTGGGTGGGTACGTGTCCCAACGTCCTAAACCCTGAAGCCCTCCGGCTGGATTTCGGGTTCTGAGGTTTAGGGTTTAGGGTTTAGGGTTTAGGGTTTAGGGTTTAGGGTTTAGGGTTTAGGGTGTAAGTCCGAGCTTTGGGTGCTCAGAGCCTCACCGATCAAACGACAGCCAGGGACAGCCTTGAGGTCGAGGGCTGAGGGCAGGAGTTTGGGGGCTCTGTTGCACAGACTGTGTATGCGTGTGTCACACACACATATACATCTATACATACATACACATATACCTATACATATATATAGTTATATAATCTATATATATATACATATATATATATATGGTTTATTTATTTATTTATATTTGTATATATATATATATGTATATGATATGTGTGTGTGCGTGTGTGCATGTCTATCTGCCTGGTATATACAGGTGTGTGAGTACACAAGTTTATGGATAGGCATGTATGTATGCCATACATTTAGGAAGGATGTGCAACCCGCCTGGCGTGGCTGTCAGAGAACCTGATCTTGTGAAGCCCCTGGCCTATAGTTAACCAAACCACCAGTCACCAACCCTGGATCACCCAACGCACCCTCAGTCCTCCGTTCGTCACCCTCCCCTCCCCGGTCCCCCCCTTCCCCCCTTCCCCCACCCTCCGGCCCGCACCCCGAATTAAACACGAATCACGCAGGCGCAAGTACCGGGCACGCGCCCACTGCAACACTGCACAGCCCCAGCAAGCCAACACGAAGATCCTCAACGACTCATCCCCGAAGCCCTAAACCCTAAACCCTAAACCCCCTACACCCTCGCCTTCTTCTGCAAGTGGCGGAAGCGGTCGTCTGCCTCCATCGTCGAGGAGCTCTTGTCTTGAATCTTCTGAACCTTGGGCCACGGAAACGGGCAAGGGTTTAGGGTTTAGGGTTTAGGGTTTAGGGTTTAGGGTTTTGGGTTTAGGGTTTAGGGTCTAGGGTTTAGGGTTTGGGGTTTAGGGTTTAGGGTTTAGGGTTTAGGGACTAGGGACTAGGGTTTAGGGTTTAGGGTTTAGGGTTTAGGGAAGCCAGGCCGACACCGAAAGCACGTAAGACCTGGGCTTCCGAAGTTTACACCCGACCCCCGCCCCCAAGCAAAGGCCATGAAGCAGTTGAGGGATGTACGGGTCTGAGGTCCTGAACTTCAAGCCCTGCAGCCCCTCGCCGTGGGAAGGGCCGACGACTTGAAAACTAGGTGGCCAACTCAAGCAATGCAGAGCCGACGAGTGAGATGCTTCTAAGTGGTCACTGCGGACAGTCGAAAATGGTGTCGAGATGCCTGTTTCCCTCACTTCTCTCGGCTGCTCCTGTCTGTCTCACACAGCCAGTCGAAAGCTCCCGATTCACCGCGCAGCTTGCAAAAGACGGGCTTTCTGCCACAATGCGCGAGGTAGAAGAACATCCAGCTGGATTTAGGTTTCGTTTGAACTGGGTCTCGGCCCCCAGCCTGGCTTACATTCTGGCAAAAGGGATGAGGGTTTAGGGTTTAGGGTTTGGGGTTTAGGGTTTAGGGCTTAAGGGTTTGGGTTTAGGGTTTAGGGTATCAACATGTAAAGACATCTCTCCCCTACTCTCTCCTACTCTCCCTCTCTCTCCCCTGCCTCTCTTCCTTCCTGCGCACATAGCCCCTCCGAAGTGGGGACGCACGGGGGCGTGTGGTCATCGAGTCAGTTGTTGAAACAATCCCCGCCCCCACTCGTGCTGCCGCGGCAAAGCTGCAGCGACCGACCCCGCCGAAAATGCGAGGCTTATTTCGTGTTGTGGAATGCAAGAAACGTGTACCCTGAACCCTTTCAAGAATAGACGCCTCACAAAACCTCTGAACCTGCGAATTCGCTGTAAATAGCAGCATTTCCAACCAAGACGCTTCTTCAATAATGCAGCTGCGCCAAGCCGAAAATCGACGGCGCACGAAAGTGCTGTCATTTACAGTGGGTTCGGGCCTAAAACATCGGGCCGATCGATACAAAAGGTGGTTTTCGGACGTGCACTTCAAAGCAAACGCACACAGAAACATCGAAAGCACCGAGGTTTGGGCCAGCAGAAATGTAAGGCTTTCAGGTTGTCTACTTGTGTGGACAGGCTGGTATTTGTGCGAATTTGCAGGCTCAGAGAGGTTTTTTGTGAGGCGTTTTTGAAAGGGTACACACATGTCAGACGGTATTAGGGTATTCATTCTGTGCGTTTTTGTTGTAACATTTTTGTTTGCAGCATTGGGGTTCAACCGCCACTTTTGCTAAAGTGTAGGAATTGTCGCAACATCCTTTTGCATCATGCAGAAGAAGCAAAAATGCTGTGAATGATCGCAACCAATCCTTCCTCCCCCCCCCCCCCCCCCCCCCCCCCCCCCCACCTCCCCGCGAACATCCTTACAGACCTGAAAGCATGCCGTAAAATAACCAACAACTAACCCGCCGTTTCCCAGTGTCGCACCTATTCACGGGGCGGGCATTCCCACACGAAGTTCATGGGAGGATCCTGTCTTGCTTCCCTTCCCATACTCTCGCCTTTCATTCTGTAAGTATTTCATTCTTTCATGCTATCATTGTTTCTGTTCCTTGCTTCATTCATGTTATTTCTTTCCTTATTTCTTTCCTTCTCTCTCTCTCTCTCGTTTCTCTCTTTTCTCTCTTTTCTCTCGTTTCTCTCTTCTCTCTCTTTTCTCTCTTTTCTCTCTTTTCTCTCTTTTCTCTCGTTTCTCTCTTTCTCTCTCTCTTTCTCTCTCTCTCTATTTCTCTCTCTCTCTCTCTCTCTCCCTCTCTCTCTGTCAATCTGAAGGGCCGGGCAAGACACCGCTGCAACACATCGAGCCCACAACAACTCTTGGGCTTTCGGCTGCCCAAGCTCCATTAACACCGCAACCCCGACAGAAAACTCCATGCCACAAAGCCGAAACCCCAGAACCCTAGACCCGATAGATACCGCCTACACCCTAAACCCAAAACCCTAAACCCTCAACCCTAAACCCTAAACCCTAGGTTTCCATGGGCATCTCACCGAGGGCATGTTGGGGAGCCTTTGGGGTTTTTTGAAGGCCCCTGGTGCGATTGCAGCAAACTAAGTATCAAGCCCCAGGCCCTAAACCCTAAACCCTAAACCCTAAACCCTAAACCCTAAACCTTAAACCTACTATCTGCTTAAAAATAAAGTAGCAAGCCCCAAGCCCCTGAAGCCAGCCCTGAAACCTACCATTTGCTTAAGAACCCCCCCCCGAAAGAAATAGAAGATTGTAAACCTTACATTGCCCTTCTAAGGAAGAATATGTCATATGTATGCATACATATATACAGACATGTACAAGTATATATTCTAAAAAAATATATGTTGTATTCTCTTTGACTTTTTTTTGGGGGGGGTTCTTACGAAAGCTTGGCAGAAGAAGCCCACAGAGGCCCCTGCAATCTCTTGGACGTCTTTCTCCTCGTTCCGCACCCACATTGGCACCTCTTGCGGTTTGTGCGTGGGGGTTTAGGGTTTCGGGTTTGGGGTTTAGGGTTGAGGGTTTAGGGTTGAGGGTTGAGGATTGAGGGCTGAGGGTTGAGGGGGGAGGGGAGGGGCGCCCTGAGGCTAGCAGGTTCTTTTTTTGCCCCGTGGCTGGCTGTCTGGGGACTTGAAGTACGGTTTCGGCTCAGGGCTCAGGGCTTAGGGCTTAGGGCTTAGGGCTTAGGGCTTAGGGTTTAGGGTTTAGGGTTTAGTTAGGGGCTTTGGGTCTCGGGTTTACCCATGACCACCGGTCCAAGGCCCTCACGCAGCGACTGTAGGCGCGCTCCAGCTCCACATACTCGCCTCGACGCTGCTTCAAGAGTCCCCCTTAAACCCTTTTTTGCAACCGGGCTCATTGCTGCCCCCTTAAACCCTAAACCCTAAACCCTAAACCCTTAAACGCTTTGGCATACTAAACACCCCCAAGCTCCCATGCTCCAACTCAAGCCAGGGACCCTGCGCTCAACCAGCCTCAGCCCAAAACCTGCTTAGGGTTTAGGGTTTAGGGTTTAGGGCTTAGGGCTTAGGGTTTAGGGTTTAGGGTTTAGGGTTTACGGTTTACGGTTGAGGGATGTTGAGGGTTTAGGGCAAAGATTCGAACTGCAACGCTTCAAAGACACCTCAAGATCCCTCCACCCGTTCTGCATCCTGGCCTCCCTCAACCCTTTTTGCGCCTGGACGGCCAGACCCTAACCCTAAACCCTAAACCCCTAAATCTGTTGGCTGGGCTCCCCCCGCAGTCTGGAATTTCGAACTCGGCCAGTACTTGAGGGCCTGTGTGAAATCGGGCTTCCAGCGCGAGGGCTGTTTAAGATTTAGGCGTTTAGGGTTGCTTCAAGGCTTTCGGGTTTCTTTAGGGTTTACGGCTTTGGGTTGAGGGTCTTTTTTGGAGGGGTG